CCCCCCCCAAATTAGAATTATGACATTTTTGGATAATTTCATAAGTTTCTTCTAAAGGCACACATCTTCGAATGATAAGATCCTTTCCTTATTTATATAAAATGGGTCATCCTAAAAATAAGGCTTAGCTTCAAATAAAAATTTCCTCTTCTGTTGGTATGTCATTCCATAGGATATAATATCACTAACAATCAAGTTCACAATGTCTGCATACAATGGAACATGCCACTCATTAATATTGAACAATTTTTCATTTGGAAAATGTTTATTAATCTCTTTTTCAAAATAGAGTGATTTTTCTAATTCAAGCATTGAAAGATGGTCAGCAATTTGATTCTCAGCTCCCTTCATATCTAGTATCTCAAAGTTAAATTCTTGCAATTCATACAAAAGAAGAACCCATCGTATCAGTCTAGGTTTTGCATCCTTCTTTTTCATTAACTATTTAATAGTAGAATGATATGTATGCATAATACATTTAGTTCCAATCAAGTATGATCTAAATTTATCAAAAACATATACTACTACTAATAACTCTTTCTCAGTTGTTGTATAATTAATTTTAAGCTTCATTAAGAGTTCTACTAGCATAGTAGATAACTTTGAAAATCCTATCATGCTTTTGTCCTAAAACAACTCCAATAGCATAATCACTAGCATCACATATTAATTTAAAAGATTTTTCCCAATCTGGTGCAACAATAATTGGTGCAGTGACTAATTTTTCTTTTAATAATTCAAAAGATTTTAGTCACTCTTCATCAAAATTAAAAATTACATCTTTTAGTATATCGCCTGAAAAAGTATTTGGACATGCTACAAACTCAGGGCCGATCCTCAGGAGCTATTTATATTTGGTGATAACCAGTATATCCATCCAGAAAATAAAAGTATATATGCCCAACTTGTCTATCTAACATCTGATCTAGAAAGGGTAGTGGGAAATGATCTTTTATTATGGCAAGATTTAATTTTCTATAAGCAATGCATATTCGCCATCCAGTAACTTATCTTATTGGTATTAAATCATTATGTTCATTCAAAGTCACAGTCACTCCTCCTTTTTAAGGAACACAATGAATTGGACTAACCCATGCACTATTTGAAATAGGGTAGATAATTCCAACATCTAACCACTTTAGAATTTCTTTCTTAACAACTTCTTTCATAATAAGATTTAATCTCCTTTGAGGATCAACCCTGGGTTTGCAGTTCTCTTCCATATGAATTCTATGCATACAAAATGAAGGATTGATTCCTTTTATATTAGTAATTGTCCATCCAAAGGCTTTCTTAGAATTCTTTAAAATTTTCATCAAATTCTCTTCTTCTTTTGTAGTTAATTTTGAGGAAATTATAACAGGTAATGTGAGGAAATTATAACAGGTTTTGAGGAAATTATAACAGGTAATGTAGAGGAATCACCCAAAAAGGCATACTTCAAATATTCTGGAATTAACTTCAACTCAAGCTTGGGAAGTTTTACAAATGATGGACAAAAAGATGTATCTTTCTCTGTAGTGTCCAAAACTTCAAAACTTTCTCAAACATAATTTGAATCTTCCTTATATAAAACTTTGTATTTATCCAATTCCTCTTCTTGCTCATGTTCCAACTCTTTAATTTCCGATTTCTCTTCATAATTTTTTTTTGAAATGGCATTTAATTAGATATCTTATCACATACATTCTATAGTATTCATCATCTTTACCTTTTGCAGGGTACTTCAATGATTTGGAAATATTAAATGTAACTGTTTGATCATTGACGTGCATAGTTAGTTCTCCTTTCTACACATCTATGATTGCTCTTACAGTAGCTAGGAAAAGTCTCCCCAAAATGATAGGTATCTCTTTATCTTCCTCCATGTCTAGCACAATAAAATCAATTGGAAAGATAAATTGATCCAATTTCACTAGGAAATTTTCTATAACTCCTTTAGGGTAAGTTATTGATCTATATGCTAATTGTAGAGTTATAGTAATAGGGGTTATTTTGCCTAATCCCAATCTCTTAAATATTGATAATGGCATAAGGTTGATGCTTGCTCCTAAATCACATAAAACTTTAGCATAAAATCTATCTCCTATTGCACATGGAATTGTAAAGCTACTAGGATCTTACTAA